GCTGATTAGTCCATAGGTGGAGGAAGATGGATTCATATCTTTTCAAAGGGCATCAGTATAAAGTGAACAAAATAGACTCTGAAGTTGACACACTAATTCCCCCTCCCATGCCAAACCATTACATGTGGTAGTCTTACATCTGATATGATTGGCACATGCAGATAGGTTGTTCTTGTGTCAGATATAGTGAAAATCCTTCAATAGACGGATGAAATGGTTGATAGAAGTGAATATGGATATATCTAATCTGTGAACTCTGTAAAAGTATTACACACAAAATGTTAATGCACACACATACACATTTCACAAAATTGTACAGCTTTAGTGTTTGGCCTCCTACCCATAACTGTAAAACATTTGGAAACTTATTCCATTTCAAAGATTTTTGATGAGCAAATACATTTATTTTGAAATAATTTGTTTTCCCTTCAAAAGTAATATTTATTTTAAAAATTTTAAAGTAATTTTTCTTTCTTTTTTTTTTTTTTTTTTTTATCATCATTTCTTTTTTAAATGAATTTTTTAACTGAATTTTTTAAAACTGGGTTTTACATTTTTAAAACAAGTGATTTCTTTAAAAAAAAAATAAGTGCTATTTTTCTTCTTTGAAAGAGGCGCTCTCTCTCTCTCTCTCTCTCTTTCTCTCTTTCTCTCTTTCTCTTTCTCTCTCTCTCTCTCTCTTTCTCACTCACTCACTCACTCACTCAAATGAGAATCAGGCCAATGCAATCAGACATTTTATTTCTCTTCAACTTCCTCTCCTGAAAACAAAAAAACATTAGTGTAGTTTACTGAAGCTGTAATCTTTATTATTATTAATTAATGTGCATAATTATTACATCTTATCTCTTTACAGAAAGTATTGAACAAGGTGTAGAGCCACATTTTGTCATGCAGCCCAAAGATGTAAAGGCCGTACGGGGCACTTCAGTTGTGCTCCATTGTGGTGCTAATGGCAGAAACCGAAACCGTGAACCACCGACAATAACTTGGCTTAAAGGAGGAGTCACCTTGGATTAGTAAGTAAATAATTTGTTTGTCTCATTTTCTTCTCACCTCGTCAAAGAAATAAAGAGGAATATTTTCTATGTTAGTGTCCCTTCAAGATATGGGTGATCATGGCTCTCGCTATCTTCCTATCTTTTGTAGCTCTAAGCAATGTTTGTTCCTTTACTATTCCTCCCAGTACCTTTTCAGCCATCCATTTACACAAGGTAGGTTGATTGTGGCTCTCTACAACTTCCTTTTTTTTTTTTAAGCTCTAAACAATGTCATCTTACCATCCTCCTTCACCCCTATTAGAATTTGCAAGAAACCCAACTCTGTTATGAAACATGTCATGCAATTCCAGCACCTTGGAAATTCCATACCATATTGGCTAGTTGCTGCTATTCAAACAAAAGGACATACATGACCTTCTGGTAGCTGTTTTCAGTTTATGTGCTTAGGTTTTATTCTTTAAAATAATGTTTCCACTGTGTGACTTATGAAAGTGTCACTAGTCAAAAATAACTTTTTTTTTTTTTTTTTTTTTTTTTTTTTTTTTTCAGTACCAACAGAACCTATGAAGTGGTTGGCACTGGAAGTTTGCACATTTCTCATGTAGAGGAAACAAACAACGGAATATACACATGCCGTGCTAGCAACATGGAAGATTCAATTGATGCTCAAGCGACAGTGACTGTCCTCGGTAAGAGCATTTGTATAATAGCAATCTGATTTTTTTTAAAAAAAGCAGTAGTGTGCTCGCACTTATGGCCCTGACATGTTCTCACTGCTGATACCAACTATCTATATTAAGTCCTACCAGCCATCTTTCTGTAAGCAGGAGTGGTTGGTGGGCTTAAAAGTAATTAGCCTTGTATACTTTTGTTTGCATGTAACATTACTCTCAGGTTGTTTTGTTTTTTTTTGTTTTGTTTCATTGTGCTCCTATGTTTTCTTTTTTGTCCTACGTTTTCTTTTACTCTTTAAGTAACCCATTGCATCTTAATTGCATTATCACTTGCTTGGGGTGAAACACTAGGGGAATACAAGACACCCCAGAGTAAGGCACTAAAGCTACTAAGATGCAAGGGGCTACTGAGTGTGAGATAAGAAAAAAAAACATTAAGGAGAGAGAACAAGGAAAAAACAAACTTGTTGCCTACTTCATGTGATGGGATTTTGAACTGAACCCTTTATTTCATCCATCGGGGTAGATTGTTCTAGTTCCATGTGCCATGCCTCTTCCAGATGTCTGTCATAGACAGGTATAGAACTCACAACTCTTTTGGGTCAAGTCACTGGATCCAACCAACACTTTTATCCATGTGTCCTTGAGGAACATGACAATAAAGATGAGAGCAACGTCTTTAGAAAAACTTGGAAAGTGCAAATATGTTCTGTAACAAGTGTTTCCCTTTCCTATAAATATCTTCATGGTAATTGTTTGGATTAACTCTTCACTATGGTATCAAGACTTTATAAATTTAAGTGAAGTACAAGACTGGTGTCAAGATCTCATCAATTTACAGTTGAGCTGGCGGGATGTAGCCGTAAATTAGGTGTTTTAACCAAAATGTTTGAATAAAGTGTTTTGTTTGTTTGTGTGTGTGTGTGTTTTGTTTGTGTGTGTGTGTGTGTTTTGTTTTTAAATAAGTTACAGTAAAAATTAATGTTTTTGTATATGTATTTATTCATTTTTAGAATTTTTTTTTTTTTTTTTTTTTTTTTATTTCCTAAACATTTTACTGGTGTTATGCTACTAGCAACTATAAATGATAACAGTTATACTTGGCATCCATTCTATCTCTTTTCTCCTTGCTTTCTCCAAGAAATAGCCCCGCCCCATGAAACAAGTAAAAAGAAACCTGAAGAAAACTGTCAATCAATGATTGAGTCTGTTGATGCAGCATTGGGATTCCTACTGAGGAACTGTCAATAAACCAGTAGAAACTACACAATACAATTCTTAGAGATTAGAACTTCAGTTCAAAAATGAAGTATTTTTCATTATTAAATATTATTTTTAAAACTTGTATTTTCCTTTCTATTTATGATGTCAAATTAATAGAAAATCATATTACAACTTTTTTTTTTTTAATTCCAGTTCCACCCGAATTCAGAAAGAAGCCTAAAAATGTATTTGCTCACGTGACCTCTGAAGTGACCCTGGAATGTGACATCTATGGTGTGCCTACACCAGAGATATTTTGGATGAAGGATGGAAAGAAAATTGTTGCTGATGACTACTTCCAAATTGTAGATCACAAGAACCTTCGAATCCTTGGTCTTCTGGAGAGGGACCAGGGTCTGTACCAGTGTTTCGGTAGTAATGACCTGGGCAGTGTCCAGGCAAGTGCACAGTTAGTCATCTTGCAGAAAAGTAAGTCCTTTTTTGATGTTCATTAATGTTTAAATATGAAAACAAAAACGGAAAAAAAAAACACTTTCAGTGTATAGATTTCTTTTTTTGCTTTTCTTTCTCATCTTTAAAATTCCATTGTTTTGATTCTGAGAACAAATTGAATAATTCCTTGATTTTTTAGCAATTTCAAATACTGTGTTTGATACTGCATAAGGCATGAAACCACTTTTTCCCTAAATATGAGAATTTCATAAATTTGTTATAGAATGGGATATAGGACAGAACAAAATAAAATTTTGTAAATTTATCAACATTCAAAAGGAATTTAGAATTTGGCCAATTTGGGAACCTGGATTCTACTAATATTCAATACACTGTGTTACAATTGTTCTCTTAAAATCCTCTGCTGAAAGGGAATGATGAGGGGGAGGGTGGAGGTTCTTATATGCCATCATTCCTGGGACTTATAATTTACCCAAAATATTAGTATTTAGTCAATTTGTAATAAATGCACACAAAAAAAATTGTTTCTCAAAATATAAGATTTAAAATTTTTCCATATATACTTGAGTATAGTGTTAGTTTTTTAAGCAATAAACATGGATCGCACTATACAAAGGCATTTTTTTTTTTTTTTTTTTTTTTTTTTTTTTTTTTTTTTTTTTTAAAAATAACACATTTTTGATGACCAGTTGCTATACACAGGTAACTTTTTTTGCTGGCAGGGTTAAAATTCTTGCAAAAAAATTCAGGGGTCACACTAGACATGAGTTGCCTTATACATAAGTATATAAGGTAAATCACACACGGAAAAAAAAAAAAAAAAAACTTGTTTTGAATGAAGCCAAACAAGGGAGCTGGACAAAGTTCCAGTGAAAATCAATGTACAATCCAATGAATTATCTTAGATGCTGAAATGTGAAAGGTGTCTTGTATAATATCAAATACAGTATTTCTTGAATAACACTTTAAAATTTTTTTAGTAAGAAATTATAGCATATCTCATACACTTGGAAATCTCATTCATACGGGAAACACCTATCTTGCAATAAAATATGGCAATAAAGGATGTTGTAATTCTAGAAATATAAGGAAAGTATGTTACATATTTACCATTTAGAAAATATTCCTTTTTTTTTTATGGTGAAATAATATAATCATTTCACAAAGACTAACTCTTTCGGTTGTCCAATTACTGTATATTTTTCTAGCATCTCATGAGCTTTTTTTTTTTTTTTTTTTTTTTGTAGTTGTCACTTGCATCTTAACATAGCCTAGGTTGTTGGTTTTTTTTTTTTTTTTTTTTTTTTTTTTGGTTTTTTTTTCAGGACACTAAAAGTCTGCTGCCACCCACATTTTTAAAAAAAGAGAATCACTTGACTGCATGCTCTGGGTTGGCAGCAGCTTTGTTGATATGCAAGTGTTTGGCACTGAAAGAGTTTGTTCTTTTTAATATTGTGAATTTGGTTGTTAGTTATAAACTAGACAACTTCATATTAGAGCAATACACTCATTATATCACCTAATATTAAATACGTTACTTTTTTTTAATAGTTATAGTTTACCCTCATTTATATATAAAAAAATGAATGAATAGAAATGAGTCGTGAATTTTTTTTTCTCTTTTTCTTCAATTTTGAAGGAAATAGATTTTGAATTGATGCCCAGATGGTTTTTTTTTTTTTTTTATTGAATATCTGTATATCTAAGCTCCAATATCTTTTTGCTGTCTTGCTGATTTTGTTTCTCTCTCTATCTACTTCACTGGGTAAGGTACAAAGTCATATGAAGATAGAATGCTTGTAATATTAAATTTCCATTAGTTTAAGATTCCGATAAGCCTCTCTTTCTCTCACTCTCTTCTTTTCCTTTCCTTTTTTTATACTGTACAAATAAAGTAAGCCTATTATGCCGGCAAAGTGACCAAACATTATCCAGGAACAGGATTGCTACATTGAACTACTTTTGATAGACCAATGCTATTAAAAAAAAGAAAAAAAAAATTTCCCATTTTGATATATTTGTAACTTTTCACACTACCTTTAAAATAAACTATGATAACCTGGGCTACCAATGAGAAAAAAAAAAGCAAAATTTAGCATTAATTTACTACTTATAATCCAATCTAGAAACCCTGTTTGTAGATCATCAATATTTGATCAACAACCAACTTGATATGAAGAAGCAAGTTGATAATGGTTTTGATATAAAACTAAGTTCTATAAAGATCCTCATTTTTTTTTTTTTTTTTTCCCATAGTAAATTTCAGATATTTTTCTACTCTCAAAACTATTCTTCTAGTTAACTTTCTTAAAATCCAGTGCTACTAAATTTTACATTTCACTACTTGTGACTTTTGGAGGCTATTTAAAGTAAACCATTGGAAGTAAATTTAAAATTTAATAGCACTTTCAAATGGAGGCTAAGTTACTACATGTAGCCCAACATGGCAACCTTTAATTTCCAAATAGATTGATAAAAGAAAATAGATACTTTTCAATAATTAATTGAATATATTTAGGAAGACTACTTAGAATAAAAAAAATTTAATCTATTTCCTGTGCTATTTTAAAAGCTCCAAAACTATCCTTTTTTTTTTTTTTTTTTTTTTAATTAGATATATATTTTATAATATTTTCAGGGTTATTGATTTTCACATATGTAAGTGAACAAAAACATTTTGATCTAAGCCAAACAATGAAAGCTAGAAAATAGGAAAACTGATTGTTTTTTTTTATATTTTTTTTATTTTTATTTTTTTTCTTTTTTCTTTTTTCTTTGGAGGTTATTGTCAGCTTTTGGTATTTACTTACTTTAGTAAAGCACAAGGCCAAAGGCAATGAATAACATTGTCTATCACAAGTGAAGAGGACCCAAAAACAACCAGCATTAGAGATCTAGGCTTCTTAACATGGCCTAATTACTGACTCCAGTGAAGTAATAAGTAGTGTTTTAACCCACCAAGCAGACCAAACTAATGTTTGGTTATTTAGTCAATGTAGTATTATTATGAAAACAAATTGGCATATCTTTCAGTTTAGTGTCCCAAATTCAGTTATCATACAGTGCACTGGTAGTTAGAATAAAATACTAAGATATCAAATCTAATATAAAAAAAAAACTGTTAAAAAATATCCAAAAATAAAATGGATGAGATGAAAAATATCCAAAAATAAAATGGATGAGATGAACACAATGGGAAGAGGATAAACATTGAGTATTAAATTGCTGATTTTATATATATATATATATATATATATATGCTAACCAAATGCGCATCTGAGGCCAAATCGGTAAAGACACGTCAAGCTAAATGACGGTTCCGTATAGGATACAGGTTCAAATCCTGTCGGAGGACGAATATTTTCTGTGAAAATTTCTCGGACATTCAGGCCAGTAAATGTTGTTTAATACTATTTATTATAAACAGAGCATTTACTTAAATATTTGTATCTATAAAAAGAATGTATAAACATAATGTCTTTTTATATATATATATATATATATATATATATATATATATATATATATATATATATTTTTTAACCCAGGTAAGGCAATAAAACCACTAGGATGCAAGGAGTTACTGAATGTGCCTACAGCCAGGATACTAAACTCTGGCTGTATAATTCTATTATAAAAATGGCAGTCTATGCCAGTGAGCCCTGGAAGAAAACCAGCAAAATCTGCCAGAGGGTGAATGTCTTCCACTGACAATGCTTGAGGGCAGGGCCATACTTGGGATGTCATGGTGAGACCATCTAACAAAGAAATCATAGGGAGATCTGGCCCAACTAATCTGCAAGACAAAATCTCAGGGCAGAAGGGAAGCTGTTGCAGAACAAAATCCAGGATTGTGCTCAATGGAGAGCTCTTATCACCCATAGTTCCTTAGGGAACAAGAGGAACTGACTAAACTTAATAGACATAAAATGTCTATACTTTTCAAGAAAACATGTTTAAATTAACAAATGCTGACTAATTACACTAATATACATACACACACACACACACACACACACACACACCTGTAGTTCACTGCTACTAATAAGCAGGAATTTTTTTTCACCAGATGATGGCCATGCTGGCTGAAACTAGTCAAGGAACCTAATTGAAATAATAAAACAAAAAAATATTAATATACAATCCAGTGTGTCTGAAAATTTTAATTTTTCAATATTTTTTATTGTTAAAAACACGCATACATATACACATACACATATATATATATATATATATATATATATATATATATATATAGCGTCCATAAAGTTCGTGTGCACTTTAAAAATTTATAACTTTATTTGTATTTGCGATAGAAATAATCTGTAAAAAATGTTATAATACAGTGATTCAACAAGATGAAGCTCCTTGTCACTTTGCTCTGCGTGTTAGAGAGTTTCTAAATCAGGAATTTCCTAACAGATGGATCAGGAGGGATGGACCATTTTATTGGCCTCCACATTCGCCAGATTTGACACAATTAGATTTTTTTTTTTTATGGGGACATATGAAAACAATTGTGTATGCAACCAAACCTAGTTCATTAGATTTGAAAGTAGAATAACTAATGTGATTTCAGGCATTACTGTAAATCAGTTGGCAAATGTTTTCCGTGAACTGCAAAATCGTATTACCCTTTGTATTGCTAATGATGGAGGACATGTGGAAACTTAAATAAAATTTCAATAAAACCTTAAAAAGTGTAGATTTACTTTTTCTAATCCTTTTACAAATTATTTCTATCACAAATACAAATAAGTTATTTTTAAAGTGCACACGAACTTTGTGTGTGTATATATATATATATATATATATATATATATATATATATATATATATATATATATATATATAGAATATTTTTGAAAAAAACAAACAAAAATCCAAATGTAGTTAAAATGAAAGAAATGTGAAGTCTGACACAGTTTTAATAAACCTTTTTAGGCAATGTTTTCATGCTAGATGCAATTGTCAGGCCTGATGATTATGTCTAGTATGAAACAGTTTCGTCATCATTGAGTTTTGTTTTTCAATGTTCAATTTTATATTTATATACGCTCTCTCTCTGATATTGAGCATGCTTTAATCCCATAAATATATTGTCTACACCTTAATCTTTTGAGTGTTGATTTCTTTTTTTTTTATATATATATATATATATATATATATATATATATATATATATACACAAACAAACAAAGTTGAAAGGGATATACAAAAAAGGAATTCTAGTGGTCTGCAGTTTCCTGGTTGTGGCTCTCCCCATCTTCCTATCCTTTGTAGGTCTAAGTAATGTTTTTCTTAGAATCCCTCACCATTCTTCCATCCATTTGCACAAGCTCATTAGGCAGGTTACTTGCTCCCTTGCTCTTTTGCCTTCAATGGGTCTTGTGAGTGTCAAATTCTCCCAACACACTTTCCTCATTAAACGCCCTAGAAATTTCAACTATTTCTGATTGTAAGTACAAGTGCCCTTTTTTTTTCCAATTTTCCTTAAAATTTTCTCTCCATTCACAGTGAACATCACTGAAAAGGAGAAATAAAAACTAACAATATAAAAAGAATTTAAATAATCTCAGGGTTTTTTGTTTATATAGATTTGATTGTTTTTATTGTCATAACTTCCAAGTCTCATTACAGTGACTTTGAAAATTTGGTATGCTAAACTATAAGATTGCCAAAACATTAGTACTTGATTAGAAAGAGATAGTTAATGGTTAAATATAGATTTTTATTTAAAAATAAATAAAATTGAAAATTTAACTTTACTCAAGGCATTAAATGCTGCACACAAAATAATAAAAACTAACATGAAAATAATAGTTCTATTTATATATGTATTGGTATTCCTGTGTTGGATCAAAGCGTCACACCCCAGCCCCCTGCTTTACAATTAAATCTGTGCACTGTGAAATGTGCAACACAAAAATTTATATATGGATATTCATTGTGTTTTATATATGTGGATGCTACATCTGTTCAAGTGCTAAGTGTACAATGGAAACGCTGACAACTGCTTACTTTCTCTGTATGCTTTCAATATCTGTGTGCTCTGCCTCGGATCAAACTGTAGTATCTGTGCACTCTACAAATTGTGATACACACACACACACACACACACACACACAAAAAAAATACACCAACGTATACAAAAAAGTTCTCAATCCAGCCCACTTCTCAAAAAACGGTATTCTGATGTTTGGTCCTTGAAATATTGATATTTATTTTTTTTTTTTTTTTTTAAATGGGTTGGGTCAAGTTCTTTTCAGCACACATACATACATCCATCTTTTTATTTTTATATATATATATATATATATATATATATATAAAAACTTAGCTTACACATTTCATCCTCAGAGGACAAAACGTGTTGGCTAAGATAAGTTTTCATATTGTCCTTTTACAGATATACACAGAAATTTTTACATATGTATGTATGATATAAAGATAGTGGGTAAGTGAATGACAAAATAAAAAAAAAATTGGTAAATTTGATTTTTAAGCCCCGCACAGAAAATCTATTAAAAATTTCCCAAATTGTCATATTTCTGTGTAAATGTACATGCTGAACTTGAAAATGACAAAATTTTGATAAAACCTACCATTTTGTAGTTATCAACATTAAAAATTTAGGCTCAGTTGCGTTCATTTGTCCGCCTTTACAGGCCTTGTTTAACGGAACATTTTGCGTGCAGAATCTTAATTAACGGCCTTTTTATTGCTCTTAACTGATCCCGAGTTTGAGTTCAGCATGAACATTTACATGGAAATATGACAATTTGGGAAATTTTTGATAGATTTTCTGTGTGGGGCTTAAAAAGAAAATTTACCAAAAATTCTTTTTGACATGTTCTCTTCTGAGATGAACTTCTTCAGACTGTTAATATTCTTATACAGTGTAACCCAGATATAAGAGATTTTCTCTGGTCCCAAATTAGAGCCTGTGTTAATGTAAACAAAATAGACAAAACCCGGATATAAGAGAAACCCAGATATAAGAGACTTCTTTTCCGGTCCCGACAACTCTCTTATATCCGGGTTACACTGTATATAGAAGATGGGAAGAAAAATATAAAATGTAACAAGTTGTTATATTTTTTCTCCTCCTTTTATATAAAAGACTGATTCTATCTGCAAGACCATTACTACTCTGAAGAAATTCCTTCTTGAAACAAAACTTTTTTTTTTCTCCCATTTGTCAGTCACTTATCTACATATATATTCAAATATATTTTATAAAATTCAATCAACAACACCAGTCTATTCAATATTTTTATTACCTTTTTCTAGTCGCCATATGAATAGTCATACATTCAAACATATTTTCTTTATAAATTTAATCTGTTTGTAGCTCATACACCATTTTTGGCCCTCTCAAAGAGTAATGGTTAGCGAATTAGTCGACTTAACCAATATTACTGATTAGTGAGTTCAGTGACTACTGGGTGATTCACGGTTGTGGCCATGTGCTAAGCTAAGCATAGTAAATAACAATATGGGCACTTTGGCATAGGTTAATGGTTAGTGAGATGGTGGACCATTACTACTAAGTAGTGAGTTCATTCCCCACTGGGTGATCCCTACCTGTGACCTTGTGCCAAACTAAGTTCAGACTGGAAAAATGTAATAAAAATTTGAATACATAGGTTTTGTCAGTCAAATACAGTGTAAGATGTTTGAATTTTTGCTGCTGATACATTATTTCTGGAGGTGCTGAAAAGTTCTTGGCCCAACCTGTTTTCCAAATTAAGACTAAACTTTTTTTCTTTAAGTTGGGCAAGAACTTTTCAGTACTCACCTTGTAACTGTATATCGTTAGATTATGTAGGTAACTGTATTGGGGCTGGGGTGGGGGGAATTGATAAGAGTTGGCTTGTTCTCTTAAAACCTCTCCAGACTTTAAAAAAATTCAATCCCTATATAATGATTTAACTTAGCCTGACGGTATTATATGTCATACTTTTTGACTTATTTTTCCTTTTCATTTTTTCTTGGATACAATCTGTAGAAAATCGGGGGGGGGGTCCTCTTTGAAATTTGGCACCCAACTGAAATGCAATTTGAAAATGTTTGATTTAAACCAGAGATGCAGGTGTCTGTTAACTCCTGTCTCCCTCCCCCACTCTGCCCACTTTTATTATAAGGAATTTTTTTTTCTTTTCTGAACTGCTTAGAAATGTTTCATTATTTCCATTGCTTGTATAATCAAGGTTAACTTCAGACAAGTATTTACTAGTTAGATATAAATCATTAATAATAAAAACTGATTTAACTTGCAAGTTTGATCTCTCTCTCTCTCTATCTCTCTCTCTCTCTATCTATCTCTCTCTCTCTATCTATCTCTCTCTCTCTATCTATCTCTCTCTCTCTCTATCTCTATCTATCTATCTCTATCTATCTATCTATATCTATCTCTATCTATCTATCTCTCCCTATCTATCTCTATCATCTATCTCCCATCTATCCATCTCCATCCATCTCCATATCCATCTATCTCATCTATCCATCTCCATCCATCTATCTCATCCATCTATCTTATCTATCCATCTCCATCTATCTCTATCCATCTATCTATATCTCATCTATCTATCTATCTCATCCATCTATCTATCTATCTATCCATCTATCTCTCCATCCCCATCTATCTCCATCCATCTATCCCATCCATCCCCATCCATCTATCATCTCATCCCCATCTCTATCTCTCTCTATCCATCTATCCCTCCATCCATCTATCCATCTATCTCTCTCTCTATCTCATCTATCTATCTCTCTCTCTATCCCCATCTCCATCTATCTCTATCTCTCTCCATCTCTCTCTCTCTCTATCTCATCTCTCTCTCTCTATCTCTATCTCTATCTCATCTATCTCTCTCTCTATCTATCTCTCTATCTCTCTCTCTCTCTCTCTCTATCTCTCTCTCTCTATCTCTCTATCTCTCTCTCTATCTCTCTCTATCTCTCTCTCTCTATCTCATCTATCTCTCTCTATCTATCTATCTCTCTCTCTCTCTCTATTGAGCCATCTATATCTCTCTCTCTATATCTATCTATCTATCTATCTCTCTATCTCTATATCTATCTATCTCTCTATCTATCTATCTCTCTCTCCCATATTGAGCCAATAATGGCTGCATATTGGTAAGGTGTTTTTTTTTTTTTTTTTTTTTTTTTTTTTTTTGAGTGAGGGGGGCATCCTGTCCAGTATCCAAGAACATCTCAGCTGCCTTTTGCAATCATAAGATTACAAGCAAATAAAACAAACCTGGTGTCAGGCAAGGTGACACAGGTGTGTGTTTACCAACTGCTAAACCAGTAGCAGCTTCTTATATATATATATATATATATATATATATTTTTTTTTTTTTTTTTTTTTTCATGTTATTTATTCATCTCTTATTTTTTTTTATTTTTCAAAGAATATTAAATGGTTGCAGCAGCCATGTTGATCCTGCATTTCTGAAGCTTTATATATATATATATTTGTTTCTTTCTGTGCAGTGAGATTGACATAGATTGCTTGTAAGAAGCAAACAGGCAAAATTGCATCCAATATATGCTGGAGTATTTTACAGTGGAACTTTTTTCTTTTTTTTAAATTTAGTTTTTGTTTATCATAGTAAAGAGACAATGAGTCACCCTATGATGTAATAGCAGTTTCTTGTGGCATGAGTGAATTGAATACTCATTTTAATGACATGTCACACTCCAGAGACAGGTGTGTTGGGGGACAGCGGTACTTTAATTACCCTTCTCTACCCCTAATCAGATTTCTGCATTTATTTGATTTTTAACTTTTTTTAAAATTTTATGAATAATCAATAACATTTGATGGATAATAATTTATATCTCAACTTAAAAAATGGTATTTGATGTTGGGCAAACAAATATAAGAAACTAAAAGCCACTTTTTTATGCAATTGACAGTGCAATGTTGTCCATGTAAAAATTTCATTGCTTAATATAATGTAAGCGTGTAGCTTTTGAGATTTTCTTCAAACCTGAATTTTTCTTCTCCGAATAACATGAGACTGTTGTTTCCCTCTTGGGTGGAGCACTTTATATATCACCCTTCATTTTGAAACACTGGCTCTCATATGAGCCTGGTCAGTAGCTAGCTGGGTGACTACTTGGGAATACCAGGTTCTGCAACCTTGACTGGATTTCTAGGGTAATGGCTAACAAGCTGATCTTACTGATCATGACTGATTGTCATTGGATGCTCCTCTACTTTTGGCCTTGTGCCAGACCTAAGCTACATTTAGTAAATGAGTATTAATATTTTAGAAGCCTTTGTAGCAAGCTGGTTTATTACTATTGGGCAATGATTTTGATCCTCACTGGGTGCCTCATGCTTTGTGATTTAGTAAATACATCCAGAAATGAAATTTCTTAAAAACACAAGTTTTAGAGCTTTTAACATCACAGAAAATAGTTCCTAGATCTAAATACTTTACTAAATAGTTAAAAAAAAAAAACCAAATGTTATATAAAAAAATCTATTAATATTTTTAATGTTTTATTAAAAATGTTAATTCTTATAATTTGTCTGAATTTCTATGAGAAATTATCATTATTTACACACAGACTATTTTCCTTCTCTTTGTTATCACCACATTTCACCCATTGTGTCCTCTGGTTTTCATCAAGTGTATGTCAATCCAGTTAACCTACAGAGTACCTTGAACTGAACACTTTACAGGAGTAGATTGTTCTTGTTCCACTGTCCATGTCTAGGAATATCTCATTTAGTTCATATTTTTAGGACTGCTTGCCCTGTCTTCACATAGTCCAAGTACACACTACTTGGCCCAGGGATTGAACTCACAATTTTCACCACATTCATGAGCCAACACTTTAATCCACTAGGCTGTTGCCCTATAGATTAAGTAAAGTGGTCAGTTCGAAATTCCCTGTAGGTTACTTGAATTGACATTCACATGATGAAGACCAGTGGGCACTATAACTGAAATGACGAGGATAATAGTCCACATGAAAATATTTTTTAAAAAAAAAAATTTTTTTTCCAATATTTATTTACACTAGTTTGTCTTCATACTGTTTTACAAAAAGAGGTCAGTTTATTTTTTGCCAGAAACATTAATCTTAGAAATACATTTGCCAGTGTATATGACATTTCACTTTAAAATTTTAAAAAAATTGTCATCAGGGTTGTTTGATTTAAATCCAGCTGATTTGAATCAAATGTTTTTTTTTTTTTTTTTTTTTAAATCACTGATTTACCATATATTTCCATGTAGAAGATGATCTTTAAATCCCAAAAATCACCCTTAAAAGTTGGGAGTTTGTCTTATAATACACTTCTAAAAAAAAAAAAAAATTCTGAGTGATGTTTGTGGGTAGGCTAACCTTGTCGTTGGTGCAATAACCAATAAATACATGAAAAGATTCACATTATCAAATAAACTGATAATAAAAGTAATAAAACCATTTCTACCTTATATATTACTAGCATAACTTCATAATAAATTGCCTATTCAAAGAATAATTTCCTATCAATGAAATCAACTTGTATCCATGCAAGCTCAGCCAAGAAAATGTAAACATCAATTTATGATTGTGTTCATAGCAACCTTTATCTTTTGATAAACTTTCAATAGTCATCATGGGTGTGTTAATTACAGCAGTAATAACATTTAGGATAACATGATATTCATTAGTATTGTCAATGAAGTATAAGTAAATGGCCATTAGTACACCAAGCTGTTTGTAACTGTTTAGATATAGGAAAAGAAGAAAAATCAAGAGATCATGTGATGAAACAGACAAAACAATGCTTTCCCTTTTAGGGGACATGTGTACGAAAAACATGATATAGAATCAGTTTTGTTATTTTGTGTTTGAATTTCTAAGGATACAATAAGTAATATTTCCAATAGTATCATCAATAAGCAGTCATCTAATACTACAGGTATAGGATAAGATGAGATCAAAAAAATATTTTATCTAAAGGCTGCCTTATACGTGGAAATATATGGTAAATCAATTTTACAAAAATCCTTTATTTAAAGCAAAAAACTTACGAATAAAACAGTTTTTGTTTTCATGAAATTTCATGAAGGAAATAGTGTTAAATACATTGAATCAAATGTTAACAAAAAATTTTTTTTTTTTATACTATAAAATTTTAACTATTAGCAACCTTTAAAAATCAACATGAGCAGTGTCTGCATTCATGGATTTAAATAAACTAGATTTGCTGCTTTGTCTGTAGCAAGATGTTTTCTCAGTTTGAAATGTACCCGTCTATAGAACAAGAAAACTCGTTCATCCCCCAGAAGATGAATCCACTGCAGACAGAGTTGCTTAACCATAGAAAGTATATCGTTGCTCAACACACTTTCAAATTTCAAAGTTTAAAAAACACACAGGAATTGAAAAACCCAGATCTAATTAAAAAAAAAAAAAAAATTACAAGATTATTTATGTACAAATCAATCAATAAGACGTAGCTGATGATCACCATGTCAATCTTTTATTTTAAAATTCTGTAAGAATAAAATAGTTGTATGACCTTATCTGAAGAAAAAAAAACAGAAACAAGAAGTTGAATGTAGATGCACCTAAAACCTTAGCATTTATCACTCTGTATGCGACTTCATTTGCTGTGCTAAGTGTTTATCCTACCACTGAAGGTGACTCTGATCCTTGAATTTGTTGGAATTTCATAGTTGTGTTGTCATATCCTGCAATGGCAACAGAAAATACCTTTGAGCAAAATTAACAATAAGGATACTGCAATTGAGAAACCTTAAAAAAATTTCAGTGGGAAGGGAAGTAATATTAATAATGCAGAGTGCTAAAGGTTAAAAAATGGTAAAAATTAAATGTAGATTTTTAATGAATAAATTAGGGGAGAAGTCAGCCAGATATGACCAAAAATTAGTAAACCCTAAATTGTCTTATCTTATGATATAATGGAATATGCATACCCCTGTGTTCCCCCTCACTGGAATATGATTGGCTGGTGTCCGTCATAAATACCAACAGACGTTTAGGTACAACAGAGTTTAAGTCTGATGACGCCCATTGGACTACGCCATTGGCTATCCTATTGGTCTACACCTATTAGCTGCGACTACGATGAGTACCAGTCGATTACTGCTACCGTGTACTACTTGGTTACAGTACCCAAATCCACTTAGCTACTTCGATCAACTATATCCCTTTCTGGGACATATCATCTTAATCTCTCAAGCTATTTCTATCAGCTTGGCTCTTTCTTTTGCTCTCTTTATGTGCAAAATCCCTGGTTCTCATTAAACAAGAATTTAGTCTTCCATGAATCACATAAATACACCAGTTTTCATTAAAATGCTGTCATGCTTAATAAAATTTTCATTTTATATGATAAATTGATCCTATTTTATTACCAGTTGTAATTCATCTTTTGACAGTTGTTTTTATCACAACACATTTTGTTCAGCTCACACATTACTAGTTTTAACCGATTAAAATTTCAAGGTTTTCCTATTTGAAATTTCTGATGAATCTTGATTCTTCAGTTAATGAGTGAATAAGCTCATGGCAAGTTCTACATCAATAAAATATCTATAAAAATTCCTTTATCAAATCGCTAAATATTTGAGCTTAACAACTTTAACAAAATATTGCAGTAATAATCAAAAAGATGAATGCTGGTTGTTATTTTAAGGAGGTACAGATGAAAAGATTTGAAATTGACAGCCTTTTCCATTTCACCAAAAGACGTTAAACACTTCTGTCTTTCCTTCTTTCTTTAGTTTTCTAACTGAAACCAAGTAGCATCTGTGATATTCATTTTCTCTTCTCACATCAAAATGGGATAGTCCATTATGAGCAGAAGACGTTAGACATTTTTTTTTTTTTGTCACTGAAACCAAGTAGCAACTCTGATAAGTCTTCTGTTTTTCCACACGATCAAAATGGAATAGGCCATTATGAGGTATTGGCAAGGCGTAACGGTCGTGCAAACTAACAAAAGTAGAGACCAGCACAATTATAACAGGATTATCAGCTTACGGTCATGTCCTGTCAAAACACCAGTTCTCGTATGATCACTAAAATGGAGCAGCATCGAGCCTGGTCAGTACTTAGATGGGTATCTGCTTAGGAATACCAGATGCTGTAAGGTTTGATGTGTGG